CTTCGGCCGTAGCTTCTGCTTTATTTTGTTCCTCTCTTGGATTGGCTTCTGTCGTCTTCGTGCTCACTGTCCCAAATGTTCGTGCTCTTTCAGCTTTTGGTTCTTCAGTCATGTTTTCTTTCGTTTTTATTCCGACCATCATCGCCAACCTTTCTGTAAAAGATGTCTTTTTTACTTGAGAGTCTTCTTTCACCGTTTCTTCAGTGTTGCTTATTGCATCTTCCACATTGTCTATTGGTGAGAACTCTATGGGTTTCGGGTTTGGTTCTTCTGCATTGGGCATTGGAGTTGACTCCGTCGTCTTTTTCTCCAGTTCATCTACGCTCTGGTCTGGTGTCTCTAGGTCGATTTCGATTGTAGGCTCCACCTGTTTTTCCCTCGCATCTTCTCGCATCTTGCTCTCGGTGCCACTCCTCGTGCTGACCATGCTAACTGAAAAGTTATTTTTTGTTTTGCTTGGGCCCCTTGATGTCGTTCCACGCAGCGACGAGTTATATTTCGTGTTTGATCCACTTGACCTTTTTTCAAGCACCGGTACCCTACTCCGTCTCATTATTTCTATTTACAATTGCTCTTATTTACAATATTATTATATACACAATTCTATTCTAAGAATAAAAAAATTTTGTGGAAACAAATTCTTAAAAGAAAATATACAACGTGATAAAAACCTTGTTCCAGTTCTCTAAAATCTTCGAGTAACTTTCTTTATTTGTGGTCCCAACCGTACCGGGTTCCAATTAGTCTTGTTCTGTCTTAATTCTGTCTTAAAACAACTTGTTGTAATTTTACTTCAATTTTTATACTGTCCTATGACTTCCAGTTACCGTCCCCACTCTTCTTTGTACCGTACCAGGCTTCTTTCTACTGTCCCAAGACTGTTCGGTATTGTCCCAGTACTTCGTCAGTGTTCCAAGACCCTTGTCCTGAGAGTACTATCCCAAGGCTACTGTCCCAAGGCTAGTAACCCAATACCAGTGTCCCAAGACTGCTGTCCCAAGGCTAGTGTCCCAAGACCAGTGTCCCAAGACTACTGTCCCAAGGCTAGTGTCCCAAGACTACTGTCCCAAGGCTAGTGTCCCAAGGCTAGTGTCCCAAGACTACTGTCCCAAGGCTAGTGTCCCAAGACTAGTGTCCCAAGGCTAGTGTCCCAAGGCTAGTGTCCCAAGACTACTGTCCCAAGGCTAGTGTCCCAAGACTACTGTCCCAAGACTACTATCCCAAGGCTAGTGTCCCAAGACTACTGTCCCAAGACCACTGTCCCAAGACCCTTGTCCCAAGACCCTGTCCCAAGACCCTTGTCCCAAGACCACTGTCCCAAGACCACTGTCCCAAGACCCTTGTTCCAAGACCCTGTCCCAAGACCCTTGTCCCAAGACCACTGTCCCAAGACCACTGTCCCAAGACCCTTGTCCCAAGACCCTGTCCCAAGACCCTTGTCCCAAGACCACTGTCCCAAGACCACTGTCCCAAGACCCTGTCCCAAGACCCCTGTCCCAAGACCACTGTCCCAAGACCACTGTCCCACGACCACTGTCCCAAGACCACTGTCCCAAGACCACTGTCCCAAGACCACTGTCCCAAGACCACTGTCCCAAGACTGTATCAAGACTGTTCTGGTCCAACACTGTCCCAGGACTTCTTTGGCACTGTCCCAAGACTGTTGACAAGTGTCTGAGCGGTGGGACCTCTTTCTTCTTCGTTATGGGGACTTCTTGATTCACTGTACCTTGTACCACCACTCAAGCTCTAGTAAAATTTTCCCAAAAACCCTCTCTTAAAAGCCAAATGCTGCCCCCCCCCCTTTTTCTTATTTCTTTTTAATTACCTCTCTTTCAATGTTCCAAGCAACTTGAGACCAAAACCTGTGCGCAGGTATCTTATGATCACCTGTTCGTATAAAAACTAAACACAAATCCTCACCAAAATGCAACAAAAATCCAAGCTAGAAAAAGTAATAAAAACGGAAAGATGAGCCCACCTAAAATTCAAAGGTGACAAATGTCTACCTTCTATCGAAAAAATGTCTGGTACCTAATTGCCACGCGTTTCCTTCCCCCCTGCTAGCGATCTTATGGGGTATCACAAAAACTGTCTATGTCCGTTCCCCCCTACCGATCCGACCAGGGTACCTACCTTAACCTAATTCCAATTTTGGATATCCGCTTCCTATGACCAACGCGTGTAAATGACTAATGTAACTAAATCAACGATGTAGACTAATTAGTTACTCTAATTTCCCCCCTTTTTACAATTTACAACCGCCAACCTCTAACTTAACCAGCCCCCCTTCTAACCTCCCCCCTTTTTAGCCCCCCTTCTTAAACCTAAAATTACCTTAAGCGCCGGGTGCTAAACCTCTCAAGAGAAAACCGTAGACCCGTCTCCAGGCCTGCTCAAGTAAAAACGTTTCTCAAAACCGGGGGATATCGTTTATCCAATTTTACACTTATTTCCTATAATGTAATGTGAATTTTAACGATACCCGTTCTGCCCAACTTGAGAACTCGAGAACTGCCAAATCCTTCTTGGCTACTTGCCCACTCGACTGGTCACCTCTTCCAGTCCAGTCTCCTATTGGTTCAGCTCAAGTGCTCCTGAACCACTTTCCCACTCGGCTGGTCACCTCTTCCAGTCAAGTCTCCTATTGGTTCAGCTCAAGTGCTCCTGAACCACTTTCCCACTCGGCTGGTCACCTCTTCCAGTCAAGTCTCCTATTGGTTCAGCTAAGTTCCAAGCTATCTGAAAACCCTTGACAACGCCCCACACTCGGGCTCTTTATTAATGTTACTGGGTTAAATTACTAGGTTGATCGAAACGATCGAACTTGTAAAACATTATGGGTATACTATTTAATTAATATAAAGGTTTGATCCAACTAATCTGGTGTCAAAGTCACTGTCTTTTTCGTTTTATGGTTTTTGTTCCTTTTTCTATTCTTTTTTTTTTGTTTTTGTTTTGCTTTTTGTCTTTTTGCTCGTGTTTTTGTCCCCCTAGTTGCCCCCCTTTACTCGGTTAGCTAAGCCTCGTTCGGAGAGCGTACCAGGAAGTTTTCTCGAGTTTTCTTAAAAAGCTATCACGGTACAACCGGAAGGTTTGCACGTTCATGTCGAACCGCACCGCCGGTACTCTAGAATGGGCATTCAGCCCGAAGCTGTCTCAAGTAGGTTCGACTCCGTAGTCTTGATGTCGTAAACACCCAGGAGCGCCATAAAAACACTATGTAACATTCGTCTACTGCAGTCACACATGAGGCTTAAGAAAAATAGGCCCTATAACTATTGGCTCAAGAGTCAGGGACACTATCTCTTGTGTTTTTCTACCTCAAATCAGTCGGAGCCAATTCGGTTCGTTTGTGACATGAGACTACGACCCGTTACAGCTTAAAGGCTACTACTAAAATATCCCGCCACTCTAGAATTAAGAACGTCCCCATACTTAGGTCTCTAGATACCCAAAATACATGAACGCCGTTAAAAACCGGGTCGGAACAATCCGTTAAGTTACTTTTTATTAGACAGTGGAACTTTGATCCATTTCAGATGGATCAACCTAAAACTCGCCTTACCTCAACATAACAATTATAAAACACACTCTAGAAATTTAAATTAGTACTCACATTGTAGCACGCTCAAGAAAGGGAAGTACTTCAGTCGGTAATTAACTCGAGAATTAAATAATATAACTAAAATGAGTTTAATGTTTGTCAGTTTTAACAACAAGAACAAGTTTGTACTCTAGACTGTAGTTTCTCGTGAACCATTGGGACACTCAAGCTGTCCACCTTTCCACCGAAGGTTCACTCTAGTCCAGTTTAGAATAATACTCCAGTCAAGTCACAATAATCCAGTTCGTGGGAATACGCTTCTCTCTGTTTCGAATGGGACAGCTCTACTCTAGATTATTACTGTGACGGAAATTGCGAATAGCAATTTCCTACTGATTTCTCCTGCAACTTTCCCGCGATGGTCACTCGATTGTTCTGACTTCTCTTTTTTGACTTTCAGTTATCGCGAGAAAATCGTGCATGACAGGCTCCATTCGAAATTTTGAAAAATTAAATTTCACCCCAAAATTAAGTGTTTTTTGCTTCTCTCAAGGTCAAACTTCCAAATATGACCGACTGGCACAGTTACTGCTTTCGGCTTTGGTCAAAACACTCAAATTAACTAGATTACATGCAGAAATAGTGAGCTCATGGCTGGGTCTCAGTATCCCCAGACCACGAGGTCACTCCTAAATACAGGGCTACTACTATTTATTATATTACTATTGTTTTTGTTCAGTAGATAAAAATCATCATCTCCATCGAAGATGGATCAACCCTTTCCCCGAACTCCTAGCTTCTCATCCTTATCAAAATGAATCTAGTTGTTAAATAAATTCAACTCAGGACATGACAAGAAGCTAAAAGTCTATATAAAAGAATAAAAGTCTCAGTTCCGAAACCCTTCCGGATTCTTGAATCCACTGAATCAAGCTCGTTAATCTTGATTTCATCGTAATCCGGAAGGCTTTCTTCCACCCTTCACCGTTATCTGCAACGGCCTTGCAACTATTATAGCGACACAATAGTTGCAACTCGGAGTGCTCTCTGTTAACTCCGTGATTTGTTGTCGTTCTTTCTCACAATTTCCGTACTTCTCGCGATCGCAGCTAATGTTGTTCTGTTGCTTTTTAGCTTTTCTGCCAAAATGGCCGTTTCTGACGTTTCTCAGAAATGTTACGTAATCACTTCGAAAATTTAAAAATTAGCAATTTCCGAATCCTTCAACCTTCCCGTTTTGTTCAATCGTTCAAATAACGTTCTTAATCCTTAAAAATCACTAATCCGGAAGGCTCGCTGCTAAAAATTCGAATTCTGCAGAGATTGCATTTTTGCATATTCTGGTCGAATGTCACACGGCGGTCACTATTCTGCAGCTTGAGTTTATGCTGGTTGAACAGTAAACAATCAATCCATAAATTCGTTGGCTCAAATTTGAACCAATCAGAATTCAAGAAGATAAATTTTGGAACTTATGCGACTAATTTTTTATTTTGGAACCTCTGAATATTGGAACCTATGGGAATTCACCGAATGGAATGTTCTCTATGCATTCTAATTTGATTGCCCTGATGAAGCAAAGTCTCGCCTCCACTCACATTCCTTCTGTTTTACAGCCACCACACCACAGGACAGAACAGAAGTTGAGCACGTTTACCGAGGAACACAGTGCAGGTAGTTTTCTTAAGCAGAGAGGTGGGTATTCACAAGTACCAAAATGATAAATCAGTCCCATTTGTACCAAAATAAAAAATCACTCGCGTTAGTACCAAAAATATTCAATTGGCCTAAGACTATTAAGCCGACTACTTTAAGCTCTTGGTTTAAGGTCGCCGGTGGGCGCGCTACGCGCGCGCCGCCGCTTTGCGGCGATAACCAGCTCTAATTTTCGTATAAAGTCCTACCCTCTGTTGGCAAGCTCGCAACACGTTTGCGCGACTGCAGCGGTCACTATTCTGCTGTTTAGTTTTCTTCTGTTTGAACAGTAGAAAATTAATGTAATAATTCGTTGGCTCACAATTCGACCAATCAGAAATCGAGTTGAATAATTTTGGTACAAATGGGACCGATTTTTCATTTTGGTACAAATGACCGTTGGTACAAATGGGACGTCACCAGCAGAGAATCTCCCTCGTAATACAGGTTTCAAACGCTGCCTATGTACTCGGAACTAAAATGGTAAAACTACTTTCGAAGAATTTTTTTATTTGTAGAGCTAAGGGAACAATAACGCAGCTTTATGTAAGTATATGATAGACCCGTAGCCGCATATCAGGCCAGTCTTTTTGATCCATTTTCAACTCCGGTTTATTCTGTGCAGGTGTTAGTTTTCTAGAAAACTCCGAGAAGTGGGGCTGGATGATACGATGAAGGGACTCCTGACAGTAACCTCGGTTACTATGATACATTCGACCTTCTGGTTATGTTAAAAAACCTTTAAGCTAACTTTATAGTTGCTTGAGAGTGGATAGTTTGTATTTAACCTCTGTTAACATTTTTTTAGATTAGGGTAGAGATCCCTTGCCTAGTGAGGCTAAATTCATGTTACATACATACATTAAGTTGTCCATTGGTTTACCTTAAAAACAGTCGGAAAATAGTTGTAAATAAATTTTGATCTGTATTTTTAAGGTTAGAGATGCTTTCCTCTGAAGCGCTTTCAGTCGGCAGTAGTGACGTTCCAGATATTTTGCCATCTGATTCTAATTCAAATGAGATCGCACTTCGACCAAACGAATTGGGCGATGTGGACATCGTACATGCGACGCAATATGGTAATTATGAACTTATAATTTAAAACTCGGTATTTTGTTGCTGAAATTATTCGAGTCATCTATTTTTAAAGTACTTGAAGTTCCTAAAACAATCTATCTATTTGAATAACAAAAATTGAGTGGGCTCTTTTTCCTTTCCCCCCCACCTGCAAATTTTTATAATTAAAATTACTTCACATTTTCCGATTGTCTTGAAAATTGGCATGCATGTAAATTAAACCAAGAGAAACATATTTGATTTTCATAATTAACATTGTAAAACCACTTGTTAGACCATAAAATTGATGCTCGTGTGAGGTGGGGGGAAGGAAAAAGAGCCAATGACTGAAATTAAACTTAAGGATACAGATATTTCTGTACTTATTTGAAATTTAAGGAAAGTTTGAAGTGGTTCGTCAGTTAATCGAATCTGGACAACACGATGTGAACCAACTGGACAAAGAAGGAATCTCCCTGCTGCACTGGGCTGCCATTAACAATAGACTGCAGATGGTGAGGTATCTGATTATGAAAGGGGCTCTCATTGATCGCAGATGCGGTGACCTGAATACCAACGCTCTCCAGTGGGCAATACGGCAAGGACACTTGCAGATGGTCGTTTTGCTTCTCCACTATGGATCCAGTCCACTGATCCCGGATGTTAATGGCAAGGAAAATCATATTCTACCTTTACAATATTTAAATTCCTGTGACCCGAATTTTGCCATGTTTTGAGAGTGTTTTGCCATGGTTAAGAGCGTGATTTATGAATGGTTGAGCTAATCTATGCATTAAAATGTAGAAAATACGGGTAGTTCTTCGTTTCGCGTACGCATTTCGGTTGAGCAATCAAGCTACCGCGCTCAAGTTGCTGAGCTCTTTAAAGGCAATTAAAAGCCTATTGAGCCATCCCTATAATTAGATGCCTCAAAATGCAATCTTAAACTATCTGTCCTTTGAAAATACTTGTGGTGCTTTTGATAAATCGATTAAGCTTTAGGCGCTAGCAAACCCAAAGATGCGATTGTAGATTGAAAAAATACATACATCCACGCCTTTAAATACGTAGATTTGATAGGTTGTGTATTTTTGGCAATAAAAGTTTGAACTGCTACATTAATTAAATTTAATGAAAGTTCTGTTTTTTAGAATTTTTTTCCTTGATGGCTAAATGTGATTTGGATAATAGAAGCGTTATATTTGTTGGCTCCCTATCTGAATATTTTAGATGTTCATTTGGTTAATTTTGAAAATGATAGTAGTAATACATGCAAAAGAAGCAGTAAATGAAACTTGGGAGTGTAGAACGACTATTTTTTTGAAACAAATATAATAACGCTGGCGGTAAGCAAGCGTTATTAAATGGGAATATTGACTTTTTCGGTATAACAATTTGCTTAATAAAATCAGTTGAATCATTTGATATCTTGCCTTGAAACAATTTCATATCTCAGCATCTCTCGCTCAATTGGTGTGGAGAAAGCAACTACACCTAGGAAAAAAGTCAAAGTTTTGAAACTTTGAACGTCGTGTGGAAACTTTACTTTTTTCGTAAACTACGGTGCCAATTCTCAGGATAAGCGTTTACTTGAAAAATCTGGTTTTGGGAATCTTTTCTGCTTTAACAGCCACGATTTACTTTTGAAGAAAAAAGTTATTGATTTCGGAAATGTTTTTATTTTTGACCTTTTTTGAGAAACTTTTTGTCTTTTCTCTAAAGCTACCCCTATCAAATTTGAAATGAAAAGTTTAATCGAAAGAACAGGTTGTGAAGTTTTTCCTCCAGAAGCGTTAATTTTTGCAAGAACAGTAATGTGTACTTGGCGAAATTCCAATATCTCAAATTTTCACTCATAATTATTTTGTAGAGAAACAAATAAGGTTCTGGGAAAACTTCAATTTTTGAAATTACCCCTTTTTATTCAGCATCATTTTAACAAATTCAAAAAATTATCAAACCTGTATCTCCAGCTTTATTTGGGCCCCTGCTTATCTTTTATCAAGACATTTAGGTTTGTGTCTTTTTTTAAAAGTAATGTGTACTTGGCAAAATTTCAGTATCTCAAAAATTTTCACTCATAATTAGTTCATAGCACTCATAATTTTCACTCGTAAACTGAGTTTAAAAATAAATAAAAAATTAATTCACGAAAAATTTAATATGAGCATTAACAAATTAGACTTTCCCTGACAAAATAATTGTTTGATAATTTTTGAAATTGTTATAATGATAACAATTTCAATAATTATCAAACAATTATTTTTTCAGGGAATCTTAAAATTTGTTAATGCTCATATCAACTTTTTCGCTATTTGGCTTTTGATTTATTTTTGAACTCATTTTTGAAATTTTACCATTTCCTGGAAAAGATAAGAAGAAAGGAAAGAAAGCTCCACTACTGAACAGCGAAGTGTAAAGTTCATGAAAAATTGCTGCACTTCTAATTTGAAAATGGATTTCAATTATCAGATTTTCCAGCGAAATGAAAATTTTATTTTTTGATTCAGTTTTCTCAATTGTAATACAATTGGCAAAAAAAGTCAATCAAATAATGTACTAGAAGTTAAAAGAGCTTTAAGGTCATTTTTTGAAATTCGAAAGTCTAACAGATAAGCTCACAGGTATCAGAACGACGTGTAATCACAACAAAACCACAACAAAATTAGTTAAATCAAACAATATTACATTAATTGGAAATAGCACCAGCAGGGAGGGAAAAAGCATCATAAAAGAGGGAAAAAAAGAACGCCAGAAGAGAGATGAAAAAGAAAAAATAGAGAGAAAGAAAAAAATCGAAAGTTGAGATTTTTCAAAAGATAGTATTTTGTTTACTTGCGTTAATTGACTATTTTCAACTTTTCTGCTGTTCATGTTCTATTCGCTGATTTGCTCTGCTGCTTTTGCGTTGTATTATAAGTGTTGCGAAGCTGTGTTTCGGCTCTGTGTTTAAATCGAAGATGTTAAAATTTTTTTAAAAAATATCAATATTTAAAAAACTTTAAGTTTGAAATTAGCAACCCTATAGTGGGGTACTGCCAGGGTACTTTCAGGGGTTGTAAGTCTCGCCTACCAATATGTCTGCTCAAATCCTTTAAGCTACCAAAATATGACTTTTACATTTTTTTTCACAAAAATTTAAAACTTCACTAATTTTGAAATAAGCAAGCCTATGTTGCGCGTCTGTCAGAAAGTTTTCAGGTTTTGCAAATTTTGCCTTCAAATATTACTGCTCAAAGCCTTTTAAATTCCGAGATATGGCGTTTTTTAGTTTTGATTTTTTGAAAAATATGCAAAACATTTTAAAAAGTTTCACAAAATCGAAATTAGCATATCATCGAATTAGCAAATCGTTTGAATGGGTTGATTAGATAAACTAACTTTTTGGCAATCTTTTTAGATGCATTATAGATAAACTATATTTTGGCAATCTTTTTAGATACATTAAAACTTCATAGCTTGAATGCACTGCTTGCATACATTTTGCGAACCAGTTCAGGTAGAAATATGACATTTGTGTCCCGTAAAAATCTTCAAAACATGGTTTGCATTTGTTTTGAAGTTTTCACAAAATTTACGGGACTCATCTTTCTTACTTGCTTTTTCCTGGGACCCAACTATCATACTTGTACCCAGGTTCAAGCTAAAATACGTTTGAAGTACTTGAAATATTCATTGCTTTCTGCGAGCCGATTGATAAATGAAGACGTGCTTGCTAGTTTTAATCAATCAGAGTAGTGTCTTCTTGGTGTCAATAACCAATTATGATTGCTAGCAAAAATGCAGGAGACCTTGCGTAGGTTTATAGTATGAAGTCGATTAAGATTAGCGATGTCATACAGCAAACGCTAAAATAAGAATAAAAAACTTGGTTGTGTATCAGTTTGAAAATTTCTCCTTTGTCTTCAGGTCTGAACAGCCTGCACGTGGCTTCTCAAAGTGGCCATACTCCCATAGTGGCCTATCTGGTGGCTAAAGGGTCCGTGGACGTGGATTGTAGAGACGAACAGAATGGACGCACTCCTCTCATGCACGCAATACTCCACAGTCCAGGGTGAGTTTAGTTTTCACCATGCAGGCTATTTCGGTCGCTTATATTGATTTTTTTCCAGGGAAGTCGTAGAACTTGTTCACGCTCAATTTGATGTTAGTTTTCAGAGTTCCTTGCGGAATAAAAAAGATTTTTTTGAACCTTTTCTCAATTTGGTTAGTGTTGGCAGAAAATCAAACCACTGAAAGCAAAACATGTATGAGACCCAGCGCGAAAAAGTAAAGAAAATGTGCAGAATAGCAAAATTTAATGCTGAAAAAAAACAATGAAAATCTCATACAAGCTCAATGCTAACTAGTTTTTCACGGTTTTCAAAAAATTGACAGGTACAAATTGGAGAAATGCCGAATGTACAGAATTTGAATGATTTTTTTTTCTCAGATAGGAAATAAACTATGATCGTAGGAGACAAAGGTATGAAGAGTAGCTTTTTGATTTTTTTTCGGGTTATTTCCGAAGTAGCTTCCCTCCTTTTTCTTTTCAGTATTTTGTAATGCAATGCTTTAATTGTATGGCAAGTGTTGCGGAGCTCCACTTCGCCTCTGTGTTTATTTTTTCCTAAAGTGATTTATTTGAATATGAATTTATATAGATTTTGTTTCGGTTTCCTTTGTTCATTGTCGATTTTTCAACTGTAAGCTGTTGTTTTTGCTTTTGTAATGATGTATAGAAGGAGCAGTTGAGAGATATCTGATTGGGCAATCCAACTGGAGAAACAATTTCGCTGCTTCTTAAATGGTCTGTTTTTTTTCGTAGTGCAGTGATTGTTTATCCGAATTTGGGTTGTGCCATCAGAATACTCCCCGAGCAGTCGTAGTCAAAAATGTTTCAAAAACTCTGCAAATTTCTGTATGAAACAAAGTGCGGGAATCATTTTTTGGTAAATGTTTATTGGGTTAGTTAAATGTTGATTCTCTAAACGATGGAACTTCGGCTGCTAAACATTTTTTATTTTAAGCGATGATCCCACAAGGTTGCTGATAAATTTGGGAGCAAGTGTAAATAAAGTAAGTTTCTTTCGCCAACAAGTTTCTTCTTCGTAACTATCTCGTTTTTTGTTGGCACGTCCGTTATTATTTTCAGACAGATGCCAGTTTTGGAAACACAGCTCTGCATTATGCTCTGGGAACAAACAATTATGGAGCAGTTACAAAATTGTTGAACTGTAACGCCTCTGCTGATATCCCCAACAAACAGGTAACAAAAACAGGAATGAAATTTGTCATAAGACAGTTTAAAATAGAAATTTATCTTGCTTGACATTTGATGCAAACTAAATTGATATATTTTTCTAGCCTCTAAAACCAATTTTGCTATTTGGCAACACGGCTGATTTGACGTCACACTAATTTGAGATAATTAATCCGATTTATTTTTTTGGCTTCAGGGCGAAACAGTCAAAGATTCATTAACTAGTGTGTCGAACAGTTTAATAACGAGACGCATTCAAAAACATATCGAAACAGAAGACCTCACTTCGCGAAGGAATTGGAGGACCTTTCACAAGAACCCTGTAAGTTTGGCTTATTTCAAATCACGCCCCCTGTTAAGTTTTTTTTGCATCGCAACCGGTATAAATTCAGTTCAGAGGCAGATTTGGGGGGGGGGGGGGGGGGGACGCATCTCTCTCAGGGAACCGACCCAAAGGCGCCTTCGGCGGTAATGTATACTAATTTTGAGGTTAAAGCGAGCGCCGAAAAACTAGATTTTTTTGTCAACATTTTCCAAAAAGTGCCTAAAAACGCCTTTTTTGGCCTGTTTTTTCAAAATTTTGCCAGCGGCGCACAAAATTTGAGCAAAATCGTCTTTTTAGTGCTTTGGGAGAGCTAAGAAAAACAATTTGGTCTACATAAAAAAAAGGTCCTCAAAATCCTAGATCTGCCCCTGTATAAATTAGCTAACTCTGCCTCTAATTTTTAAGAGAAATCATTTTTTAAATCACTTGTAAGAAATTTTCAATCACTTAAAATAACATAAAAGAACGAAGTGATTTTCAATTATGTAGGAATTGGTGATTTTTTTCCCAGTAAAAATTAATAACTACAGGTGTGTATCATACATATTATTGCATTTATGAATGCACTTTTGTATGTACTTAATGCACCTTTTGAGATCAAATCAAAAGCATCTGCTAAAAGTTAGGTAAATTGCGCTCTCCAATTACGAAATCGGAAATGGCGCGAAAAATCAAGATCGATTTCTAGTTTCGAAAATAGGTTTTCATTTTTGACTTTCTAGAGGAATAAGAAAATTTATCTATTGATCCAGTTTTTTTTTTAAATTGGGCTTATTTCCAATCGAATTTTTTTACACGTTTCAAACCTTCTGTTTAAAACTTCTGGCTACTTTTATTTGAAACCAGTTTCAAAATAACAGATCTATTTTCAGGGAAGAAAAGTTAAGTAATTTTATGTTTCAGAAAACGATCGACAAGATAACGTTCGCACTGCCTTTTTTCTGCATGGGCCTCATTGGACTGGTCCTGGAAAGCTACCTGAATTTCATCCTGAAAATAGTCTCCATATTCGCAGTCGCTACTGCAGTCAAATACTTCAGCGGCAAATTTCTGACCTTCAACTCTCACCAAATCCTTCCCTTCTCCACTTACTTGGCCCAGAAGGTACAAAAAATAACCCTGAATGTTTCCCTAGCTACCGTCATTCACGTTAGCGATATTAAGTTATCGAATCTACTTAACAATCGCCCTCCCTTTGGTATCTATTAAAGAATTGCCACCCTTATAAATAAAAGCAGTAAGTTAGCACTATAGCGTTATTACGCTTGCGAAGCGAGTGTATTTTAAAGTTCGAGTTTTGCTGCTATCTGATCGGTCAAAAGTTCACCAACTTAATCTACCTAACAACTCCGTCCTCTCCTCACTTTCTTGAAATGGGAGGGGGGCAATTGTTAAGTAGATGCAAGTTATCTAATCACTTTTTTGAGCCCTATTGTGTAATTTATGAAGTCAAATTAAAATAGTATTTGCTCAAAATTTTCGTATATGCTCACAATTTCCAAAAAATCCAATTGATGATTCTTTGAATATTTTTAGTGTCTTATTGAGCGATATTGTAGTTACACAAGCATAGCTTGTGTTATAATATGAACTTTCTTTTTTTTCCAATCTAAGTCGCAAATATTGTTGCGATGCATTTGTTGCGACAAAATGTGTTCGTTTTGATCCAGCAATTAAGTACAGCCAATGCTAAGGATATTAACACATACTATTATATTACAAATAGCACTTTAGCTTCAAGGCATCATGGATCTGTAGCGTAGAGGTAGGGAAGGAGACCAGCAGCAAAATATGAGGGTTCGAACCTGGGCAGGGTCGGATATTTTTAATGAACTTTTTCGTATACTAGTTTAAATGCGTCCGCTTTATAAATTGAGCTATGTTATTTGGTAATTTTTTTTTCAAATTGACTGGTACTGCTAATGCGTCTTAATTGGCTTGCGTCATTTAGCAATTATGTAGACTCATAACTGGCGTGTGTCACTTATGAAATTTTGTAGACTCATTCAGTTTTTCCCAGTAGCGTTATCGGTCATGTTTTGCTTGTGTATGCGAAGTGAAACTTCGCCTCTGTGTTAATGGTTGATAACTTCGCCTCTGTGTTAATGGTTGATTATGGCATAACAAATTTTCAATTAGTTAGTTTTTTGATTGGAAGTAGTATAAAACGAAATGTTGCTGTTCAAATATAAGTAGTTTTTCAAAGCTAAACTTAACTGAAAAATGGTTTATAGAACGGGTAAAGCTATTTTATTGCAAATTTAGTTCAAGTGGAATTTAATTTTCAGATTTCGCCAGCGAAATAAAGATTTAACTTGTTGATCCAGTTTTCTCAAATTGGGTTCTTTTTTCATCAAAAAAGAATCAATCATAAGTTGTTCTAGAACATCAAAGAGCTTTAAGGGCATCCATTTTTTAAGAGTAATGAACGTAGTGAAGACTCTTGTAAAGGTCCTGCTGAATTTTTTTCAGGAAAAAGTCTTAAAATGCTTAAAAGTCTTAAAAAAGTCTTAAAAAGTCATTAAGACTTTCCTGAAAAAAATTCAGCAAGACATAAGAGTCTTCACTACGTTCATTACTCTTAAAAAATGGATGCCCTTAAAGCTCTTTGATGTTCTAGAACAACTTATGAATGATTCTTTTTTGATAAAAAAGAACCCAATTTGAGAAAACTGGATCAACAAGTTAAGTTTTTATTTCGCTGGCGAAATCTGAAAATTAAATTCCACTTGGGAAATAAGCTAAAAGTTTTGAACTAAATATGCAATAAAATAGCCTAACCCGTTCCATAAACCATTTTTCAGTTAAGTTTAGCTTCGAAAAACTACTTATATTTGAACAGCAACATTTCGTTTTATACTACTTCCAATCAAAAAAACTAACTTATTGAAAATTTGTTATGCCATAATCAACCATATACACAGAGGCGAAGTTATCAACCATTAACACAGAGGCAAAGTTGCACTTCGCATACACAAGCAAACATGACCGATAACGCTACTGGGAAAAACTGAAAAATAGCTACAGATGTGCATTCATACATATTAATGCATTTATGAATGCACTTACGTATATATGCTCTTTTTGAGTTCAATTAAAATTAATCTGCTGAAAGTTACGTTAATAGCACTCTGCAATACGAACGTTGAAATGGCGCAAAAAAAGGTGAAGTTTCTAGTTTCGAAAATGGAATTCATTTCTTAGATTTCTAGTGGGATAAAAACTTTACCTATTGATCCAGTTTTCTCAAGATAGGTTAATGTCATCAAAAAAAGCGCCAATCATAAATTGTTCTTGAAATTCAAAGAGCTTAAAGGGCATCTATTTTTTTTGAAAATCGAAAGTTGAGATTTTCAACAAAGTCAGTGTTTTCTGTTTACTTGCGTTCATTACTCTTTTTCAATCCTCGGTTGGCTATGTTTTCTCTTAAATTCGAAAGTTGATTTTTTCAAAAATCAAGTCATTTATTTTTTTCTGTTTACTTGCGGTCATTGACTGCTTTCCAACTGTCTTTTGGCTAATGTTTGTTTGTGGTGGATTAAATAGTAAAAGAGACAAAATTAGTTTAAATTGATTGTTTATTAAGGTGTTGATGTATTTCACCTGGTCCCACTACTACTGGAACGAAGTGTCTTCCTGGGCCAACTGCTCCCTGCTGCTGGTCTCTATCTTCCTCTGCTATTACTTCTACAAAACTGTATTCTCTGACCCAGGATTTCTCAAGAGGTCAATGGAAGCGAAGAAACAAGTGAGTCCTCCTCATCCTCAAAATTGAAGGGGCAAGTCATAATACGCGAGAAGAACTGAATGTCTGGCATTTATGTTAGCCAATCAGAATTAAAGTTAAAGTATAAGCTTAAGCTTGAAGTTCAGTCAATTGTTTGGACAATTTAAAAGACATTTTGTTGAACTTTTTCGCACCTTCGATCATTGTTTCATAGCCGTGTTTATATAGAATAGACCCCACAAGAGACCACAATATAATCATTTTAAATCATTCAAACTATTAAAACCGTTTTTTTTTGCAAACTTGGGATGTTGACGTATTATTTTCCAGGCTTGAGATATTTATTGACTGTAACATATACAAAAAAGGCATGAATTACTTAACTTTTATATTTTCAAAAAAATGTTCGAGCCTTGATGTCACCCCTGAATAAAATTTTGGGAAAATATTAGAAAACTTTGAAAGTTTTGGGAAAAAAACGAACAATAAAACATAAACATTGCTATGTATCCGTGATTTCAGGCGATCATCTCCTTTGTGGAGTGTGAGGACAAAGGCATGGACAACTTTTCCTCCTTCTGCACCACATGTATCCTCCGTCGTCCAATCAGATCCAAGCACTGTGTAGTGTGTAAACAATGTGTGGCCAAAATGGACCACCACTGCCCGTGGGTGTTCAACTGTGTGGCTGCCAATAACCACTCGTTCTTTGTCAATTTCCTATTTTTTCTAGAGTGCATCATCACACTGTTCATGGGAGCCACTGCTGTCTGTTAGTTCAATTTTAGTTATGATAATGATAATTACCCTTGAGATAAGCAAGAGTACTGCAATCGGGTACTAGACGTTTTTTTCTCTTAAATAACTTTGTGCACAGATTGGTCAATTTTGTAGTATTGGTAAATTTCAGGACATGCTCAATTTTTTAAAATTTAAAATAAAACTACCTCATCTAGGACTTAATAATTGGAGTACGTTTCGGGCAATAATTAATTTCAGAAAAAATTTTAAAGAATTTTTTTCGAATTCGTGGTTTTCGGCCTCGAAGTTTCCCATCGATTCGTTTTCCGTTTTCTTTTAAATATCATATATGTTATCTGGTACTTCTTTTTATCGGCGTACTTTGTAAACGATGGATTTTATTTTGATTCAATTTTTTATACTAAAATTTCTGTAATTTGTTATTTTACCAAGTTTGATTTTGAATCTATTTTACAAGTTTCGATAAAATGGTTTTGGCGGATAGAAATGCTTGACCCAGATTTCTACGCTTGCGATTAGAAAGCGTTATTAAACCGGAATTTAGACTTTTTTTCGAATTAACAACTAGTTTAACAGAATTTAACAGAATCATACGAAGTTAAAGTCAGACGTTAATTCGCGCGTGTGGCGAAGATTGTTGTTTGGAATCCGGCCAGCACCTGTTTTTTTTTGTAAGCGAAATTTGTCCGCTCGTCAAAGAAATTTTGTCGGACTTCTGTTTGTCTGCTTAGTTGCCGCAGCACCAAATCTGCCTAAACTGGACTTAGTTATGATACAATACAATCACAATATAATCATTTTAAATCATGCAAACTATTAAAACCGTTTTTTTTTTGCAAACTTGGGATATTGGTTGTAACATATACAAAAAAGGCATGAGTTACTTAATATTTATCTTTTCAAAAAAAATGTTCGAGCCTTGATGTCGCCCCTGAATAAAATTTTGGAAAAAACATGTTTCAGGACATGCTCAATTTTTTAAAATTTAAAATAAAATTACCTCATCTAGGACTTAATAAGTGGAGTACGTTTCGGGCAATAATTAATCAGAAAAAATTTTAAAGAATTTTTTCTGAAATTAATTCGCTCAACTTATGATTATTGCCCGAAACGTACCCAAATTTCTCACATACTCATTTGGCTTCAACCGAAACAACGGGTTGTGGGAAACTTTCCTGCGTAATTGACTACGCCCTTTTTTTTATTAAATAAAGTTATGTGGTCCTCGGAAAAGTCAATAATTGGTGTTTGTACCGTTTTATAAAACTATTTGACTTTTCTCGAAAGTTGCCCTCCCAAATCGTGAGTTTTTGCGTTCAATCAAATTAACAGATTGTGTGAATATATTCTTCATTAGCGGCTATGCCCACAAATTTCTTCACAGAAAAATGTGGTTTGCGAATAAGTCAAATTTCCGATTTGACTTATCTGACATGAAGGTATCAAATCTGACAATTGAAATAACCGGTTGCGAATTTTTTTCCTTTAGAAGTGGCAACTCCTTATTTTTTGTGAGAAAAGTTTTATGTATTTGGGAAGATTGCAATTTCTCAAAAACTTTCACTCTTCTCACGTATTTTAGTAGAGAACCAAGGTTTTGGGCAAATTCCAATTTTTGAAATTACCCATTTCATCCCTCATCAATAGAAAAAATTCAAAAAATATCGAACATTTTGCTCGAAAGTTAGCGGGTCTCCTAGTTATTTTTTTTGAGACACGAACATTTTGGTTCATCTAGATTGTTTCAACATAAATCATTTTTTTTCGACTTGTAATGTTTTTTTTTATGTTTGTGGTGCTGTATGGCAATTGGTGCGAAGCTCCGCTTCTCCTTTGTCTAATAAATTGCTTTCAGGCTTACAATTAAAAAATACGTGTTTTAGGACGTCTCGGACATAAAAATTTTCCAAACAATTTTTGGAAATATCTCGAATTTTTTGTCGACCAAATTGATATTTTGAGTTTTCCTCTCCAACTTTGTATACGTTTCCACCGAAAGCGTTTTTGGATAATTCTAGAGTTGGGCAAAAAGTAAAGTGATAAAATGGGAGGGAGTACCCTTTGAGCGGCGAGGGTGTCGAATTTCTGAAGGAGGGAGTAAGCGCCCTCCTCATCTAAATCTGCTACTGGTAGCATGTATAATTGACAATAAGTTCGTATGACAAAGCATTATCTGACGATGATTTTTGAATAAAAGTTTTGAGACTTAATCCTGAAGCTACCAATTTTTATCTGAACTGCTATCGCAAGTTTTGGGTCATAACAAAAAGATCAGTAAAATAATTAAAAATCAGGTGATTTTATCGATTAAAACAAATTCAGTTTTCAGTTAACCCGCGACTTCGTTCTGGTTTCTTTTCTGTTTCATCTTCTGAATGTCTAAACTGTATTCTTCTTCTTGCTGAAGAGTTTTCCTCTGCTCCAGAAGTTCTCTTTTGTTAATCTAAAAGCAAGATTTGTGACTTATCGCCAATTATATCGAGTTGTCTTGAAACTTGTGAAGCATTATATAATAGGCTACATGTAATTCAAGAATCAGAATTGTTGAACGTAGTGAATACTTTTATATAGCTCTTGATGATTGTTTTTGTTTTTTTTAGGAAAAATCTTAAAATTTGTCCACGCTCAAATTTGATTTTTTTTGCGGTTTGTTTTTTGATTTCTTTTCAACTTACTGTTTTTCCTTTGTTGAAAGGAAGGCAAACGCCACCATCAAGCAGCAAAAAGTTGAAAAACCCAAATCGATTTACGGGGGAAAAGAAGGATTTTTTGGTAATTAACTTTGAATATAGTCTAAATTGAATCAATTCAACTTCCGAAAAAATATATAAAACAATAATTTAGATTCTAACACGATACAAATGCAATCTCAGTAAGAAAATTTGGTAAGCCAATCTTGGTGCCTATTTTTATACAACTAATCATTCATGGCTTGGGGGAGATTCTACATTAGGTCACTTGTGAGGGGAGGGGGAGAGAGAGATTTTCTGTAAGTTACTGCAGTATGGTAGAACATTGGTGCTTTTATGACTTTATAGCGCCTTAAATGATAGTTTTGGATCTGTGTAAATTTAATGATGGACGCCAAGGTCATTGTAAGACATTTCATGTCCTTAATTATAAACCAAAAAGCATTAAATTCAAACTAATATTTACACTAGCAGCGTAGTGTTACATTACGAATCAATTTTTTTCCTACCCAAGTCGCAATTAGAAGAGCTCATTTAGTTTGTGGCTATTGTGAAGTAATAGCATTATATATGTATATCTGGATTATTGGCTACTGTTTGATGTTTGTTAAGTGACCATAGTGCAGTTGCTAGGACCTTAATCTCGAGGACGGGGTTAGATCCCGGCACTTCGTACATTTTTTAAATTAGTTTTGCCGTTTTATTTTTTCATTTTTTGGGCCTTTTAGAGTGCGCTTTTCTGACGTTTTATCGTTTGTGTTTGAGAAATGCAACTTTGCCTCTGTGTCATAATTGTTGCATGTGTTTTTTTAAACCAAATTTTAAGGACAAAGAAACAAGCTACCATGGAAATTAACATCGCATACTACGAAATCAAATGCAAAAGTCCTAACTAGAGTGCTCGTATCAGGGCGAAGCCCTGAATGTTCCGACTGCCTTTTAAGGTCTATGGAGCAGTAATTACATGAAAAATTTAAATGTAATAAAATATAACGATTTTTTATTTGAGATTTTTTGTGAAAATTGTCCCACAAACTCCATATAAAGTACAAAGTACAAATTTTGCTCCTACTAACAAATCAATTATGGTAAGAAAGCTTTCTTGAAACAATTTGGAACGATTTGTGAGACGGTTTAAATCTCTGCTTACGCGTTGATAGCGCGGAATATGTGTACCGTTAATTGTCCCAACTTGGCCAAAATACAATCTTTAAACCCTTATAACTTTACAAAAAAAGATAAGGCGAAACATCTTTTCAAATTTAAGCTCAGGACAACAATACTTTTTGAATGATATTTAAAAACTTGGCTAGTTAAGAAGTCGAAGTTTGTCTGAAGAAAAAAACCACCCCGAGCACAAATATTCCCTTACTTTCGTTATAAAGTCGAAACAATAAATTTGATGGCTTATTTTGCTTGTGCCTAAAATAGAAAGCCAATTTAAATTCTACTATCAAAGAGTTACTATTGTCGAATTTTCTATTGACTGGCCGATTTCAAATAGCTCTCTTGCTCTTATGTTAAAATAGTTTCTCCTTTCTTGTGTTCGATGCTGTTCAATTCTGTTCAATTCAAAAAAATTAGTATTAATATCCTGGAGTACTATTTTTGGAGAGAGCCAATTTTCTTTCATTCAACTTCCGTTTGTATTGAAAAACTCGCAGCTCGCCAGATGATACTTGATACATTCTGTATCGGCTTCTTAATAGCCCAAAACTTAGGAATTTGAAGTTTAAAAATTGTTTGGATTTAGTTCTTTGCAAACGTCGATTTTCAGGAGGCATTAAACGAAAGTAAAAATAGTAAATGGGTCCTTAATTTTTTTATAGCTTTATAAGGGCACTGAACGGCAAAGCCAACATAGAACATCCTTCCGTTTTTGTTACCATTTGTCTCCTTTTTACCCTTAAGTAATTGGCTAAAAGTTATGGCTGATGTTTGGCACAATTTAGAAAAATTTATTTTGGCTTAGCTAATTAGGAGTGGAATAACAAATAATTCCACACACTTAAAAGTGTTACCTGCAAAGCTTGTGACTTCTGAATGAGTTCCATTAATTCTTGTCTCAAACTCCTGTTTTCTCTCTTGATTTCCGTTGTTCTCAAGTGAAGAGACCTTAATAATAATGAAAATAATAAATTGATTCCAATCTAATCAAGTCGAAATAGATGAAACGAATGCATGCAAAATCATCGGTCTCAAGCTGGAAAAAGTGAAACTGGCTGCGTGAATTTTGAAAATCCAAGCTTGATATTTAAATGTTCGTTTTTTTCTGATCTAGTGACAGAAATTGAAAAAAAAATAAAAAGTACCTGGTGGCTTCTTGACTAGCTTGCATCTTCATCTCAGCTATTCGGTTCTCCGATTCGAATTTGAAGTCTTGTTTCTCTTTTAAGCAGTCGGCTCGGATCTCTTGGATTTTCTCGGTTTGGATGCCTCGTTGACGCATAGCTTCGCCTTTGAGCTCGTCAATTTTTTGACGCTGTTCTTCTTGTAAAACTCGGTATTTTCCTGAAAACATCTATAATTGGCATTTTAAAAGATTGCATCAAAATGCATTTACACTAGCGTCCGCTTAGTGTGTTATTACGAACCTAACTCGTAAATAATTTCACTGTTTGGAATAATTTACTGTCACTAATATTTGGAAATTTCCTTGTAGCTGGCTAGTCTTTAATCTTCGATCTTCAATCTAATATTAAGTGGTTAGTGTGTGTCAATTTCAAGGTCTCAGGTTCGAATCTCATATGTAGCCGATTTTTTTGCTAATTCGAGGCTTAGTTCTACTTTTTCTTATTGCACTTTATAAAGCTGCCTTTTGTCGTGTTCACGCTAGTGTTTGCGAAGCGAAGATTAGCCTATGTGTTAAACTTATTTTTAACATGTTAGTGTGAACAAGTGAAAAAATATTAATTGCCGGGTAAAAATTTATTAGGCAACTTAATGTAATTTTACGAAGTGTTGGAAGCTGGAAAAGATAAATGGTACCTAGATCTTCGATATCAGTTTTGATCTTCTGCAGTTGCTGTTCTTTCTGGAACACAATGTCCCGCAGTCTCTGTTTTTCCTGTTCATACTTTTCAAGTAGCTTCTTTTTCTGCAGATTCAGATCCTCGAGCTCTTTCTGGTTCCAATCATTTAAAGATACGATAGTTTCCTGTCTCTTATTCGCTCGCTTGCTCATGTAAGACATATATTCGTGAGTCTCGTTACGAGTTAGATCTGACTCGCGTTGCAAGAAGTCGTTTTCCTTTCGTAATAACTCGACCTGATTGCGAACCTTTTCGCATTCTTGAGTGAGTGAATCGAGTTCATTTTTGAGCAGGACTTCTTTGGGTGTTTCTTTCTCTTCATTTTCGCCCCCGTTGGAAGCGACTGCGCTTTTGTCACCCGACTTGCCAGATTTACCGCCTGATTTTTTGCCGCCTTTTTTGCCTTTTTTCCCCATTTTTAACGAATATGATCCGAAAGCTACGCAAAAATCACAATGTTACAAAAAAGATAATTGTATTTATTTTCTTCAGTGAAAAAATATACGTTTACGATCAATGTTTTTTGTATATGTGTGTAATATGTGTTTATTTGGTATTTTGTTTTTGTGTGATGCTGTAGCTTTAGTATTGTGAACATATACCTTATAGTTGCTTAAAGACCAAGAGCACGTGCGCTTAAAATAAACTAAAGCTAAATTCCCGTATGACTGCATGAGGAGCAAACCACTACTTAAGAAAAGGGAGCCCAATAAAAGACATTTAATTAAATACTTTGAGTTTAATTTTGCACAGGAAGAATATAGCATAGATTTAGAATGCAAAAACATGAGATTTTTTTTGTTCCAATTTCATCATAGTAATCTGCATATAAAAAATTTTTGTTCTGTAAAGATAGATAAGGGAGTAGCACATTGGCCCCAATCTATTTCAATTGATTCTAATTTCATAAGTCATTATGTTAGCAAACGGAAACGAAATAAAAATTTAAGGTTTTGTGGATTAAGATAATTCGATCACAGGTTTAATTTAAAAAAATGACGATGCTTAAGCTTAGTGATGAAAGCGATGATCTGAACCTAAAAGCGATGATCTGCATGTTTAGATATATGGCATTACACACACGGAACCCTCTCTACAGAACCAGGTCTAGACGTTGCAGTCTTCGGTGGACTCTTCGGCTACAGGGAGGCCCCAGACCTCATCAGCTCAGCTGTACAGACAGTGTCCATAGATTCTCCAGTACAGGTTCTGGGTTGGTTCTCGTCCTTGATCCAGTTTTGCTGCAACAACCAGTGGATAGTTTTCATCGCTTCGCTTTCGATGCTCTATTGGATTTGGGTGGGGGCCCTGTTTGGGTCTCAGTGTTACCAGGCAAGTGTGATATCTTTTATTCCTTTTGGAAGACAGTCATTAATTTTTTTTGAAGAAAAGGACCGGCTTTCCCTGCTATACAGATTGACTCAGTCGTTTAAATGTTAATAAACGAGAAGAGGTTTCTTTTATTGAGGTCGTGCGGTTTTTGTAAAAAAGAGTTTAAAATGTGTTCGCGTTAAGTTTTTTATTTTTGCGTTGACTTGATTTTCTTTAAAGTTCACTTTAAATTAATTTGCCAAATGGAAGGCAAAATATGCTCTCCAATAATAAACGTGCAAATAAACGTTGCGAAAAAAAACGTGATTGACTTGAAGATCTTTATTCTTTTAATTTGATCTTTAACGGGTTGACTTTAATTTTTTGTGAAGTTCAGTTCAAATTCATTGCTGAAAAGAAGCAAATTACTCTTACCAATTATGTATATATGCAAATGGCGCAAAAAACTTGAATGGAAATTTAAGTTCGAATTAGGTTTTTTTAATTTCCCAGTGGAATATGATAAAATTTCCTATAATTCAGTTTTCTCTAAATTGGTTAGTTTTATGGAAAAAAACTGGGAATCATAAAAGATTCTTGACATTCGAAGAGCTTTAACGTGTTGTATTTTTTGTTCGAAAGTTGAAAAATGTTCAAAAATCCAATTATTAGTTTTCCTTCATCGACACTTTTATATTTCTGTGGGCTGTTTTTAAATAGTAAATAACTACTACACCAACTCATCTGGTGTTATAATTGTGAATTTTAAGACGGTTTCTGGCCAGTTAATTGCAATATTGTTGGTTAGTGAAGTTAGTGGACTAACATTGTTGTTGTGTGTGCGTGTTCAGATGTTCTGCGTTGGGATGACGACGAATGAGTTTCTGAATAGACACAGGTACAAGCACTTCAAACTCTCCCCGGAAGCGGAGAGCAGACTGCCCACTGACGAGAGGGAGAGGGAGGCATACTTCCACCGTCACAGGGCCAACAAGTGTCGCAACAAAGCATATTCCCCATTTCAGTAAGACGCCCGTGTTTAAAAAAAAACACTTTTTTTTGTAAATTTTCGGGGCTCAAAATTTTTCAAATACTCTGTTTACCGGTTGATGAGCTTTGAAGGAACGAAAAATAGTTGTTTTTATCTTTTTGTTCTTAAATTCATTGTACATTTTTCTCATTTTCTTTCCTTAACGCTAACATGTTCAAATGAGCGCCCCAATGCTGCAGTTGAAACCAGATTTGTTTCTTTAGGAATGGTTTCATGCAGAACGTAGCCGACTTCTACCAAGTGTCTTTCTGTGGCCTGTTGCATCCCAATGTTGTCGACTGGACCCACGTGTACTCAGTGGACGAAGTCACCACCCAGACTGGCTGCAGTTCCAGCGACCATTCAGCTTTCAAAGCATGAAAAAATAGTGCAGCCATTCAGCCTTCAAAGCATGAAAAAATAATGCAGATTAGACAGAAATGCACCCAAAACGTTCCTTCAACTCATTGCCACAGGAAACGAACCCTCTTCTAACTCCGTTTTAAAAACATATACGTGAATAATGACCCTACAAGTTAATAAATGCGCCTAATTATTGGCAATGTGAAAAATAATTGGGATCAATCGAATTGATACTAAGTGAAGAATAGTTTAATTGTTCAGACTGTTAATTGGTTCAATTATAAAACACTATCGGACAATGACATGAAGCCATTAAACGGAAAATCGAATTTGCCCTCCTGAACATCTTTTGTTGTTCACGAAACATTGTTTTTCAGCCTGGGGAAATTTTCAACTGATCGAAAGGATATAATAGTCTTTTTTTGTTCTAATTCAGTGTTTTAGGAACTTCTTAAGAGACAAACCAAAGTTTCGTGGCTAAATTTTTCGCCTTAAAAATAGTTTTTTTTAAATGTCTCTATTTTACTATGCAGATTAATCCTTATTGGGAAAGCTTCGATTGATCCGAAAGTAACTCTATTTGCAATTTGTACAATATTGCTTCTTTTAAACTGTGGATAATAACCTATGTGTAATTATTTGCTTCGAGCTTTATATGTTTATACTACAAAAGTTGATCAGCCATAATAATACAAGTCAGCGAAATAACTCCAGTAAAGTTAACAGGACAAAAAACTATCATTTTTTGATCGGATTGATTTCGTTCGAATTTCTAATTTTTTTTTCAAGTTTTGTACGACTCGGTGCCAATAAATTTAAGAAGCTCGTTCAATCTAGATCGATAAAAAATTTATACAATTGAATTACAAATATGTTGAAAAAGTTTTGAAAATTTCGTTTTAAAGAAATAAGGAAGGAGCAATGAAAGAATTTCAACAGCCATATGTCATCAATTTCTGCTAGAAAAAAGAAAAACTATTCCGGTGCTAGAAGCGGATTTAAGGGCAATTTATAGTGACCCCTTAAAGCAGGGTGACCATTTGATCACTATTTTAGTGACCAGTCACTATTGGTCACTATTTTTTCAATGGTCACTATTTACAAGGTTGTTGGTGACGGACCCTAAAATTTGTTTTATTTAGTCCTCCTTTGCTTTATTTTGAGATATCCATTTCCCATTTGTGGTTGCAGACCCTAAAAATTTTCTTAAGGCGCTTTTGGTGCCAATATATACTAATATTGAGTGGGGAGCGCGCGCCGAAAAAACGCAATTTTTTTTCAAAATTTTTCAAAAAGTGCTTAAAAACGACTTTTTCAGCCTGTTTATTCAAGATATTATGCCTGCGGTGAAATTTTGGCCAAAACAGGGACTTTTTTTGTGCTTTGGCAGAGCTTGAAAAATAAATTTGGTCGACCTAAATTGTCATAGTCACTAGTTTTATCTCAAAAAAGTAGTCACCCTGCCTTAAAGCAACGACACCGTCAAACCATCCACGTGCGTGGAAAATGTTGACCAAATTTTGAAAATAATCATTTTTTGGCTAATAAACTTGAACAAGACTGCTCTTATCATGTCGAAGCCCTGAATGTTCCGACTGCCTCTTAAGGGCAAACAAAATTGATTGCTAAAAACAAAGCTTCACACACAAAAAAGCATAAAATCCCATTGCATGTCAAAAGTCTTATAATAAATGATTTCAAAAACATAAATCCAAATTTTATAAAATATTTTTGAAATGCATAAATTATACAAATGCCTCGTTTCAAAAATCCACTTGCATTTTAGCAAAATCGAACGAAAGTTAATTGTAGACAGTAAACAAATTTGAGACAGGAACAATACAATTACGTCTAATTTCCCACAATTGTAGTTAAAACTTCATTTTTTCTGGTCACGTCTAATTTGCTTGTCTTTATTCTAGGCACCATCGCGCGGTAATTGTCCAAAAATGTCACGATACTTTTTGCATGATAAAAAAAATTCTGTCAACAATGGCTCGATAAAAATTTGTCTGAAGAAACAAAAAAGCGCCCCAAGCACAAATATGCCGTTACTTTCGTTACGAATGTCAGAACAATGACTCGCTCCTTTGAGTCAACATACGCGAAATTTGAGGACAAATGAACAGGGATGATAGTCCGATTTTTTAGCCAAAGCTGTCTACAAACTGACGGAAAATTAGGAATGTTACTGTTATTCGCAAAAATTGAATGTTACAGAAATTTCGTTAGTACACAAGGTGTCTTCGTTGCGGTCATTACATTTCGACCTCTCGAATATCGGATTTATAATCTCACAACGTCGTCCTGTGTGAGGAGAGCGGCACAGGACACATACCAAGAGTCTTAAGTTTGTTCAGGCTCCCTTCTCATTTTTCGCGGATTGACTGTAATTTCACATTAGTGCAATAGAGATTCATTTGCTCGCAAATAACAAAAAAGCTGAAATAAATGAAGTTACCAGGAGTAAAAACAAACTGAGTCAAAAAACTTAGTGGAGATGGTTTCTTTTTCGGGAAAAGAACTGATTGTTAGCAAATGTGATTGTTCGCAATTGCACTTTTGATCTATACAATATTTTAAATGCGTGTGACACATATCTTGACATGTTTAAACGTTTTTGAAAAAAAATTGACCGCTTAGCTTACAATACGTCGAAAAATATTAAGTGTACTTGGATTTTTGGAAAGTAGTGTGAAAACTCGGGTACTTCAGAAATTAAGGTCATTTTGCTCTGACTAGTAGACAGTAATACTATATACGTACCTACAAAATTTGAGTCAGTTTTGTTGAGTGCAAGGCAAGTTATGGATAAAAGTACTTAATATTTTTTGGCAGAGAGTACACAAGCATTGTGAAGCTATAGCATATATTGCAATGCTTATGAAAGATTTTTGATGTCCAGTTTGTGAATGCCAGGCAAATTGGAAGGCCTGAAAAAAATATTGTAGCTGTGATGGGGAGCAAAGTGTAGAGTATTGTAAAGTTTGATGCATCAATCTATACAAAATGTCCGGCGTTTTACATAATATATCCGACATAATATAATTAAGCGTTTTTGTCACTTAATCTGAAATCAGCAACCCTATGGTGGGTTGGGTGCTGTTACGGTTCTCCCTTGGGTTGCGAAATTGGCTTCCAAATCTGAATACCCAATTTTTTGATTTTTCGAGACAAGAGGATATATGTGGTTTTTCAAAAGACTTCAAAGAAATAAGATTTAAAATTATGAAAATTCGAAATTCCCAATTTAAAAATTGGGTGCTTTCTGTTTGTTTTCAGGGTTTGCAAAACTTGCCTCCAAATGTTTCTGCTCAAAAACTTTTAGTTTCCGAAATATGGCGTTTGTTTTTTAAAAAAAGATTCAAAGAGCTAGATATAGAATGTTTCAAGATTTTCAAACTTCCAACCCTTTAGTTGGGTGCTCTTAGGGTATTCTTAGGGTTCGCAAACCTTATTTCCAAGTGTGAATGCTGAAACAATTTGTTTATGAGATGTGCCTGATACGAGTTTTCAGCAAATAAGATTGAATTTGAATGTCAAATACATTCATCGTCAAGGTAATCTCTGGTGGTTTATGCCTGGATTTCAAATATGAATATAACTGCTCAACGCGTTTTAATGTTTTTTCAAAACTTCCAAAAAAATTCAGATAAAAAATACATCTCAAAAGTTGAAATTGTCGACCTTATTTGTGAGATGACATCTTGGTACTCCAGCAGTTGCAGATAGAACCTTAATGCTCATGATAGTTCAAACTCATTCAGCTTTCGAGATTGAAGTTTTTGAAACTTCAAAATTTTAAAAAACCTGGATCCAAAAATAAATCTCAAACTATGATGGTGATGCTAAGCTACTCTCAGGGCTTGCAGAAATGGCCCTCAAAATTGACTCCTCGAAAGGAAGGCAAACTCCGCTATCGAACCGTTAAAGAGTAAATGGCATGAAAAACTTGATGAACCTATAATATCGAAAGTTGTTAAATTTTCAGATATCCCTGCGGAAATTTTTTGTTCTTCCAGTTTTCTCAAATTGAGTTACTTTTTTTTGAAATTCAGAAGCTCTAAAGTGATGCTTTTGAAAAAAAAATCCGCCTATTTTTTACCTTTTTATGTGTCGTGGTCTTAATTGCCAGGTCACGAAGTTCAATTTTGTGCTGTAGAATTTTTTTGCTGGATTTGAAAATGCTTCGGTTTGTTAGCAGTAATTTGTAAATTAATAGCGTTGATATTGTACAATTTTTAACAATTACCAGTGTCAATGCACTTGGTGAAAACACTAAAAATATCAACTCGACTTTTTTCGGAAAAAATTCGTAAATGTATTGACACCAATTTCCATTCAACGCGGTTTATGTTTGATCTATTTAAGTCCGATTCATTCAAATTGAAAGAAAGATAGTTTTGACTCTCCTGTATTATTAATTGAAATAGCGCTATAACTAAAAAGTTTCTAATTTCAGAAATTCATTTTAGTTTCAGAGTCTCTCAGCGGAGAAAAAAATTCTCTTTTGAATCAGTTGTCTCATTTTGGGTTAGGTTTGTCGGAAAATGCTAGTCCTAAAATTTCATGCAATTCATAGAGTCCTAAAGTGACATCAATTTTTCTTTGCATCTCGTTCACACAAAAAAACTTCTTAAGACGCAATCATTTTGCGAAAGAAGACAATTTGGAAAATAAGACTGAGTGCAATTCAAAATTAAATCGACAAACAAAAATGTGACAACCAGTAGCGGATTTAGGCGGGGGCTGGACGGGGGGGGGCTACGCTTCCTTACAGGGATTTGAACCCCTGCCGACTATTTGGTCCCCCTTTGTACTATTTTGATGTATCCATTTTTGGCTGACGGACCCTAAAACTTTTCTATGGGCGCCTTTGGCGCCAATCTATACTAATTTTGAAGGGGGAGCGCGCGCTGAAAAAACGCAATTTTTTGTTAGAAAATCTCCAAAAAATGCCTAAAAACGCCATTTTTAGCCTCTTTTCAAAAATTTGCCTGCAGCGCAGAAAATTTGGTCAAATTAGCGTCTTTATAGTGATAGGGGAGAACTCAGAAAGTAAATTTGATCGACAAAAAAAAAGGTCGACAAAATTTTCAAAATTTTTTTGAAAATCCACCCCCCCTCGAGAAATTCCTAGATCCGCGCCTGGTGACAACAAAGGATTTGTTTGCGACAAATTTTTATTAAATAAACGAAGACAGTCGAGAAAACTCCAGAAAATTAAACAAAAAATGAACTGTTACTTACATATTAAAACGACACAAACAGCATGAAAAAAAAACAGTTTTCGAGTTTTCTGTT